ACTAAAATTAAAAGATTAAATAATAATAAATTTAATTCTTTAAATTCAGGTAGCTAGAAACTAAAATTATAGTTTCTCTGTTTTAAATATTTAAAAATAAAAATCAAAACTAGTATTATCTTAAATTTATTAAAAGTGTAATTAAATATCTATTTTCTTATTTTTATTTGTTTCAAACTTCTCAATTCTACATTTTTGTAAGTTCTATCATTATATTATCATCCTCATCTCCTCCCATGTTTCTACTTTATCTTTACAATAGTCAATATTCTTAACTAATTTATAGTTTTAATTATATTTTTTTAGTATATATTTCGAAATTAATCAATTCTAATCTATTATTTGAAAAACTAATCAATTCTAATCAATAATTTAGAAAACTAATCGATTATAATTAATTATTTGAAAAAATTATCAAATATGATCGATCATTTCGAAAATATAATCGATCAGAATTAAGTATCGCTCGAGCGAGATAGACTCGCTCAAGCGAAATACAACCCGAGAGTACTAATTTTGTGCAGGGCGTTTCGCTCGAGCGAGAATGTTGTCGCTCAAGCGAGATGACGTTTAGATAAGCGGTTACACAGGAACCGCTCTTAAAATATGACTTAGATAGCGGTTAACCCTTGAACCGCTATTATATGGTTTCAATTATGATCAGTCAGAATGCATTTATGACCGATCATAACTATTTTAATCGATTAAATCTCGTTTCAATCGATTAAAACAGTTCTACGCAGACGTTTTAATCGATTAAAACTTATTTTTATCAGTTAAAATAACTTGAAAAGTTTTAGGAAAAAGTTTTGCAAGTATTTCAATCGATTGAATCGCTAAACAATCGATTAAATCAACTTAGAAGATTTTTTGTAAAGTGTTTTAATTGATATAAACGTTGTCGTATCAGTTAAAACAAATCTGTTAAAGAATCAAGAACGTATTAGTGGATTAAAAGAAGTTTTAACAGATTAAAGCTGCACTTTTAACAGATTAAAAGAATCTTTTAACAGATTAATTAAACCAGCAGTTTTGAAAATCTTCTATAAAAGCAGTTTGGCTTGAACTTTTTAACATACATTGAATATATCATCTTTAAAAAATAAATAAATTTATATATATATATATATATATATATTTTTTTTTCATTTTAATTTTCAAATATTAATTTTTTATGAAATTAATTTTAATTAAAAAAATTAAAGTGATATATATATATATATATATATATATATATATATATATATATATATCCAACTATTAAATTATTCAAGATATTAATATAAATTTAAAATATCAATTCAAGTAATTAAAATAATTTTAATTTTTTATAAATACATTGAAATACATTTTTATTAACATACAAGTAATATATATATATATATATATATATATATATATATATATATATATAAAGAGACTAAATTAATAATTAATTTAATTATTGATTTAGTGATCGATCGATGACCGAATCGATGATCGATTCAGTGACCGAATCGATGACCGATTCAGTGACCGAATCAATGACCGATTTGGTGACTAATTTAATAATCAATTTTAATTTTTTTATTCACATGCTAAATAAAAAAATAAAATCAAATAATTATATTACTAAATTATTTAATAAGTTAGTAAACAATTTTTTTAAAATATTTATAATGTTATTAAAAATGTTATCAATTATTTTAAATTATTAAGTAAATTTATATTTAAAATATTTTAAATAAAATATTTATATAAATGAAAAATAGTTATTGGTGTAAAAATTATTTTTTTAGTGACTCGAAATTTTAGTCACTAAATCAGTTACTAAATAAAAAAAAATTAATAATTACATAAATTAAATATAGATTAATTAAAAAAATAAATTAAATAATAAAGTGATCTGAAATAGTAACCGATTTTATGTGACCGAAAATTCGGTTACTATTTCGATTACTAGACTAAAAAATAATAATTTGGTTACTTGATTCGGTCATCGATAGTAACTAAATTTTTCGGTCATCGATTTCGGTTACTATTTGACATTTTTCTAGTAGTGGAGAAACAATTTTCTTCAACTTAAAAACATATAAAATATGGTAAAATAAAACCAACTTTTTCATATACAAAGATTGAATTTAGAACTTTACCAAATAAAATGACTGTATTTTGGTCTTAAGGAGTTAATAGCATGTTGTTGAGTGGTGTATCCCAATATAACTAGTACCAGTAATAAATACATTATGCAAACATGTTAATTAATTGGCACAGATTGTTTATAGGTGGAATTTAAGTAAAAAGTACGGATGAGGATTAAATCCGTCCTCGCGTGATTCGTCTGTTTGGAAAACATTCGTCTTCATCGTTGGGTACGGGTTCAGATTTTCTCCTATATTTAAAAGGTCGGGGATGGGTAATGTAATCTCCATCCTTCCTGTCTCGACTTTATATTTAAATTTAAATTTTAAAATATTAATATTTTAAAAATATTTTTTTCTTTTTTTATTATAAATAAGTTCATTTTTTTATATTTCACCAATTTTTATTTTATTTTACCCACTTTTTAATTTTTTTGTTTTTTTTAATCTTTTATATCAATTAATTTATTACATTATTCACTCTTACTTTTCAATTTTTCACATTTCCTTAATCTCTTTCATCAATTTATTTTTTTTGTTTTAATCGTTCCAACCAATTTGATGAATACAAAATTAATTTTTTTCTTTATCTTTTTTTAAATATTTTACATAAATCTTAGTAATAACTAATATTATTTTATTTATAATTTATATTTATAATGTTTTATTATGTTATATTTTTTTTATTTTATTATTTTTATTTATTATATATCAAATTTTATCTTAATAAAATAATTATATTTTAAAGGATTAAAAGGAATTAATAATTTAAACTTTTATTACTTAAAACTAATTAAATAAAAATTAACTTATTAAATATTTTTTTATAAATTATATATTTCATATTTTTAAATAAGAACTTAAAAAGGAATTAACTTATATATAATCAAATGTTTGGATATAATATTATAATAATAATATTACAAGTATTCAAATATTTAAATAAATAATAATAATAATAATATTATTATTATAAATATTATATATATATATATAAAATAATTAAATATTATTTTACATACATATTTTAATATAAATATAATAAATTAAAAAATATATATTTAATTAATAATAATTATAAATATTTATTTATATATATAAAAATATATAATAAAATTAATTTATTATAAAAATAATTATCTTTTTAAAAATAATATAAATTGATAAAAAATTCAAAACTTAATCAAACCATTGATAAAAAATTCAAAACTTAATCAAACCAAAATAAAGATTTAATTTTAAATCCTAAAAAAATTAGAGACGAATATAAAAATAATTAAAAAAAATAGGAGCGGAATCGATCCATCCCCCGTTGGGGTCAAAAGCGTTTAAAAAATATCTATGGTCCATGTCAAGAAAATATTAAGAGTAAGAAAATGAAAGAAAATTGACGCGAGTGATTGGCACGTGCCAATACTACAATCTCAAAACCAGATCCTAGAAAAAAAAAAAACATAAAAATAGGTAGAGTTGGGCATTCATTCACGTTCTTTCTTTTATTGAGTCCCACCTTTGAAAAGCAGTGTACCACAAAGAAGGAACATGCATGGCCCCACTCTCTCTCTCTCTCTCTGAACAAAGTGTAGTACTATACTACTACTACCTTCCCATCATTAACTTCTTCCCACTCATTCAAATGCCAAAAAATCAAAAAGAGAAAGCAAAAGCTAACCATAACTATCTCCAACGCCACTTTAGTTCCCCAGTCAGTCACACACAGTCCCTTCCCTAGACAGAGAAACGTAAACTCACTTCTATTCTAGTGAGAGAAAAAACAACGCCAACAAAATAAACAACTTCAAGGAACAAAAAAGAAAAGCACCCGTCCTCAAGCTTTTGTTTCGTGTTCTTGCTTCTTCTTCCAATTTTCTCTAACCATTGCAGTTTCACACCTTCTAAGTGAAGACAGAGTTTTTGTTGTCTGTGCTCTGCAGATTGAAGACAACAGTGAAGAAGCTCTGAGTTGAGTTGTGAACGGAGACAGTATAGTGAAGAAGAGGGGAAACAAAGGCATGCTCATTGTTTTTCTTCCTCATTTACATGGTGGGTCTCTATCCCCTTTTTCCTATTGTGCTTCTTTATTTGTTTTTCCTTGTTATTGTGCCTAGATCTCTCTTTGTTTCATCATTTTTTTCCTTCTTTGTTTTGTTTTGTTTGACGCGTTCTGGGTGATTGTTTTTCAATGGAAACAAAATATATGGTAGGGAGCTTTTGCATTTTTATTTTTCTTTTTACATTTCTCCACCTCTTGTTGTCTTTATTTTTTTGGGTTTTTTTCTCCGTATGTTTCTTATTGCCTCCTAAGTTGAGCTTTCTTGCTTAAATTTTTGTACCTTGAGATTGTCTTATTAATGGGACTGTAACTATCAGGCATCAATTCCACCAGTTCATGATGTTTGCTCTGATTAACTATGTTTTCCCACTTGAAATCAATTTTCAAACTTTATTAATTTAAGTTCCTTCGAATTCAGTGCTATGTTGTATGTTTAGTATTGGGAAATAGATTTTACACAAAGCTTTGTGTCCATGGTGTCTGTGATTCCTTATGCTTGATGTTTCAATCTATCAAATTGAGCTTTCTACATTTGTCATTTCTCTGTTGATCCAATTTATAATGCTGTTTGTGCTTTCAGCAGCTACCGCGAGTCACTACTTAGAAAAAGAAGACCAATTTATTCTTTCATTCCATATTCTTGTGTTTACTCAGTTCCCGGCTTTTTCACTTGTTTGAAATACATCCTGTCAATTGATAATTTCTTATATACGAAAAACGCACAGTTAATTCAAATTGAGTGAATCTTCTATTAAATTAGTTTTTTGCTCTATTTGCAGGGTTTTTTTAACTAGAAGTCATTGTTTGATGATATGTGATATTGGGATATGGAGAGGGTTGCAGAGCCAAAGGTACTTCCTCGGTCCTTGCCCGTTTTGGTTGAAGTATCTCATGCACACAATGCTGCAATACGAGAAGCTGGCCAAAGACTAAATGGGCAGGATGTTTCGGGTGTGCGAGGGATTCCAGCAAGAGAAGGGACTCAGTTTTCAAAGTCACAAGACGGCCCTATGACACGCCTTGCCTCCATCAGAGAAGTGGCTCAGTTATCAAATGCAAGAATAGTTTTGGTAAGAGAGGATATGGGATTCGATACACGATCCTGTCAAGAGCCTCCCTCCCCTGTGCCTACAAGAACGTGGAAAGGAAAGGGCTCTTTACCAGAAGCTGTTGAACTTGTGTCTGATATTCAGCCATTGAAGGGTAGGAATGATTCTTTGGGGGAAACTGGTCCAAGTTCGTTTGCTGGTGCAAGTCATCCCCCAGAACCGGTTGATACTGATCTTATGAGAACGGTTTATGTACCAATAGGTCAAACCAAATCTGAGGCAGCATGCTTAATGAAGAGTGTGTCCTTGAAGGGTCCTTTCTTAGAAGATCTTTCAATTCGTGTTCCCACCAAGAAACCAAGTGTGGCTGTTGATTCTCCGGCAGAAAGCCTGGTTGATGAGTCAAATGAGATGGGTAATTTACCCTCGACACCTTCAGGTGCTCGTGCATCACAGAATACTGAGAACTCTCCACTTGCCCCAGATTCTGAGAAAGAATGTGTTTGGGATGCATCTTTGCCTCCAAGCGGTAATGTCAGTCCTCTTAGTAGTATTGATAGTACTAGCGTTGTCAGAACAATGAGCATCGTTAATAGTTGTGCAAGTACATACCGGAGTGATGCAGTCACTAGTGATGGGATGCTTAGTTTGGACAGGAATTGTGATAGCACTAAAGGAAGTGTAAGAGGGGATTCACTTGAGAGTGGAAAAACTAGTGCTAGTCGAGCAAGTGATAGCAGTGGCCTCAGTGATGACAGCAACTGGAGTAACATAACTGGTAGTGCCAATAAGCCACACAAAGGAAATGATCCTAGATGGAAGGCTATCCTTGCCATCCGAGCACGTGATGGAATTCTAGGCATGAGTCATTTTAGGTTACTCAAACGACTCGGTTGTGGTGATATTGGAAGTGTATATCTCTCAGAACTGAGTGCAACTCGATGCTTTTTTGCAATGAAAGTTATGGACAAGGCATCCTTAGCGAGCAGAAATAAGCTGACCAGGGCTCAGACAGAAAGAGAGATATTGCAGTTGCTGGACCATCCATTTCTGCCTACTTTGTATACACATTTCGAGACTGACAGATTCTGCTGTTTGGTAATGGAATACTGTCCAGGGGGTGATCTTCACACCTTAAGGCAACGACAACCTGGGAAACATTTCTCAGAGTATGCTGCACGGTAAGCTTTGTACTTTACAAATACAAATGCATATTCATTTATCAGACACTTGAGTTAAATGCTTTCAGTTGTAAATATCTCCTTTTTCTAGTCAGTGATCTTTATGTGTTCATTTGTGGTTCTGTAACATATCCAAGTTTCATGCAAAATACCTATTCTTTTTCATGCATCCCTTGGATAAATGATATCATCTTCATGTTCCATAGTTTTTTGAGATTGGTGGAGAAAATCTTCTTTTAGTATTAAAGATGAAAGAAAGAATGAAGTGTGGATGTTTAAACGAGCTGCTTTTGTTTCTTCTCACTTATGTAATATTTATAATCTCTGGCACCCGAAGATGAGCCATTTTTCTAGATGAGCCATTTTTCTTAACTATTATATGGAGTAGAGGAACATTGCTTCTAATTACTGATTCCTTTCACATCTTATGTTGTTGATACTATCCACTATGATTATATTTTTCTTAAAAATTATGTCTAGAACATTGTTGATCTTTTCTCATTTTTCTGAGGGTTACGGTGCTATAAATGTTAATGTCATATGGTTGTGCTGCATTACGAAAATTGACACACAACAGCTTATCTAATTGACTAGATAATAAAGTAGGTTTAGTGACATTGCGACAATGTTATTGCATTAACGATAGGTATAAGGCAGAAAAATTTGCTGCATTGAAGGTTTTTCCAGGTCTTCTGTAGGCTGAGATAATTCAGTCTGCTAGGGTGCCATGAGCAATACTAATGTGCTAAAAAGCTTGTTTTCCTTTTTCATCTTGCTTCCAATCTCCTGAACTGGATTAAAGTTGCCTAGTTTTGGTCCTCCTCTTTACAAAAATATGATAACAGTAGATTGATATCTATACGGTCATATACATTTCTGATTCATCACAAACATTTAGTGCAAATTATAGAGATCTACATGTTTATTGAGGCTGTTAAATCAGGGGAAAATTTCTTCGGTAGTGTGTATATATGGGTAGATTATGCACAGAAGATTTGTTTCCAGATATACAAACTTAGAATTAAATCCTCGTTCTGATACAAGACTTTATCGGGAATGTAACAAATTTTTATATCAGTGGCTTTGTATGAAATGCTAGGTTGTTCAATAGCATGCAGAGTTGGTTCTCTATGAAGTCTGAAACAATGATGTTAAAAAATCCTAATTAGTATATAATATAATTGGTATTTTTCCACATAGATGGTGTATTTTGGAAAATATGATTTTCCTTTCCAGTGTTGACTAATAACATACTTGTCATTCTGTGTAGCTTTTATGCTGCAGAGGTCCTGTTGGCACTTGAATATCTTCACATGCTTGGAGTGGTGTACCGAGACCTCAAACCTGAAAACGTACTGGTTCGAGATGATGGTCACATAATGCTCTCAGACTTCGATCTTTCTCTCAGATGTGCTGTTTCACCTACCCTAATCAGAAACATTGACGGGGATCCCTCCAAACGAGCCGGTGGGGCATTTTGTGTGCAGCCGGCTTGTATTGAGCCTTCATCAGTATGCATCCAGCCTTCATGTTTCATGCCTCGCCTCTTTGCTCAGAAAAATAAGAAGTCACGGAGGCCTAAAGCCGATCCTGGCCTCCCATCCAGCACACTTCCTGAGCTTGTTGCAGAACCAACAACTGCTCGGTCGATGTCTTTTGTTGGCACTCATGAATACCTTGCCCCTGAAATCATCAAAGGAGAAGGTCATGGAAGTGCAGTTGATTGGTGGACATTTGGAATTTTCTTGCATGAGCTATTATATGGTAAGACTCCTTTCAAAGGATCAGGAAACCGAGCTACCCTGTTCAATGTAGTAGGTCAGCAGCTCAGATTTCCTGAATCGCCGGCCACCAGTTATGCCAGCCGTGATCTCATCAGGGGCCTGCTGGTGAAGGAGCCGCAGCACCGGCTCGGGGTGAAGAGGGGTGCGACTGAGATCAAACAGCACCCATTCTTTGAAGGTGTGAACTGGGCTTTGATCAGGTGCAGTACGCCACCAGAAGTTCCAAGACCAGTTGAATGTGATGTAGCAGCAAAGTTTGAACCAGTTGATACAATCGGGGTTGGCATCAACAACAGTAGTAAGAGGATGGCAGGTAATAATGACATGAAGTCTGGGGGTAAATATCTAGACTTCGAGTTTTTTTAGTTTGGATTTCTCGATCTACTTTGTATTGTATTTCCATGTTCAGTTAATTTACAAGAGATGCACTGCATCATTATCATGTTGTTTCAGTTTAGTTACACTTAGCAGAATCCATTTCAGTTGGAAACGATACCCTATATTCAGAGGGTAGGATTGGATCCCCTCGTCTCTAATACAAGAATTCTTATAGATAACCCATGATCTAGTCTCTCAATACAAAACCTAGATATTCTCATTAAGCTATGTCATTTCTTAATGTTTTATTCCTTCAAATATCACTATTGTTATTTAGAATGATCCAATTATGAAGGCTTTAATTTTTTATATATTGCTGCTATAAAATTCTTACACTGTTCATTCATTATCGCCACATAAACGAGGTTGGAAGTGATAACTGGTACGTTGTAAGAATGGTTCAGAATGAGGATTAAGAAATTGCGAGAAGGCATGACGTTATTCAAAGCATGTTTGTTCTATAATACATTGTTAGTAAGATACTTTGTGGGGCACGCATTTAAAAGGACTTTGGTTTTACGGAGATAGTTAATGATTTTTCTTTATTAGTTTTGCAAGAAAGCTTGTCAAAATTCTTTCTTTATTTTTACAGTTTAACGTATAAAGAAGCTCTTATTTAGTAAAGAGCTATCAGATTGAGTAACCCAAACTTAATAAAACATTTTTATTCACTTAAAGAACAAAAACTATAGGTTGTCATTTGTATTGTAGCAATAAACAGGCGTTAGAAATTTAAAATAATACTCAACATGCATAAAAATTAACCTTAAAAGACCATTATAAAAACATTATATTACATTTGTCGTTCATGATTTTATCAGTCTTAAAAAATAATAATAATAATAATAAAATGATAAATTGGGTAAATGGGCTTTGGGCTATTAAAACTTTAGGTTGGACCGGTTAGCAAACATTGAAGTTTCACATTCCAACCCAACTCGTATTGGGCTAATTGATCCAGCCCATCACAGGTCTTATGGTTAGTATATTATATTTAGACATTCTGATGGAACAAAAGATACAGACAATAGTAGCTTCGCTCTCACCAAATATCTCTTCTTTTAAAGAATTAGTTTTAGTTGACATTCTTGTATTCTAATTATCCTTAGAGGTAACTCCTTATTTAAAGGTTAGAATACAAGCAAAAAAAAATAAAAATAATAAATGATATGAAAAATATTTTTAATATATATAAATAAATAGCTTTGATTACGGATTGATGGTTTTTTCCAATTTTCAGATGTGTGGCCTGATAGTTTTGACTGATATTTATTGAATAATCACATTGCTTGTGTTCTCTAGATGGATTTTTCATAAAATATAATTAAAAAAAGAAATAAATACAAGAGAGAAAGCGGAAGAAGTGAACTGAAAAAAATTGAAAGGGAATAATAAGCTTTTTGCTTGACAAAGTATCCTTAAAATTCTTTGAAATTCAACATGACACTTGAGTGAGGGTTGAGAAATTGACACTAATTATAACTATTTAAGGTTTCGTTTGATTCCCATGACAAAGACAGGAAGAAAATGGGGGAAAGGCTAAAACCGTAACAATAATTGACACTCTAATTTTTTTATGGACTTGTTCAAACATTAAATGGATTTATATTTTTATCATTGTTTTATTTATTTCTTTTTGTTCTCATAATTCCATTCCTATCAAATTATCTTCTTTGTCACTATTTTTCAAAGTACATGAATCAGTGAAAACTCGTGGTCCATTACTTTTAATTTGGAAAATAAAACCTAACCCATTATGCTTATAAGTTCTAGATGATTGGGAAAGGAAAAACTAGGAGATAAAATAAATGGAATGTAAAAGGAATTTGTTTGGAATGAACATAGAAAAAAGAGAAGGGAATAAAAGATTATTAGGGCATGATTTTTTTTTTAGTCTATGAATACTTATTTCAAACACCACTGGGTATTTAACCTTCTATGTCAAGATGCAATGTATTCATTTTCATCATTAAATTTATATAGTAAACTAAATCATACTCTCTTTTATATCTTGATGAATGCTTGAATTAATTAAGTTATTTTTAATTGTAATTCTTTATAGAATTAAGACATATTTAGATAACTGTCTTTAAAATCAATTAAAACTTAAATAAATCTCCACCTGAATTACAATTAATTTCTATATAAACTTAAGAATTTAAAGTAGTTGTATTAATATTTTTTATGTATAATTTATTTTATGAAAAAATTGTTTAACTTTTTGAAAAACAGAACGATAATGAAAATAAAATATTTGCCTTTTTTTTTAAGAGATTCATATTGGATGAAAAAGTATAAAAGTAAAAACTTAAAATATATAAAAATTCCTTCATTAATAGCATGATAGATTTTTTTAAAATTTAACAGGATTAGCTGATAAAAAATAAATTACAAATAATTAAATATAAAATATAAAACAGATATAGCATAAAAGTATAGAAAATATGAGAAAAAAAATGCTAACTTTTTTTTTTAATAACAAATCCACATAAAAATTTCTTTCTATATAGCATGATCCATTTTTTCTTAAAACATAGATTTTTAATAAACACAATTTGGTAACATACAAATATATATATATATATATATATATATATATATATATATAATAAAAAAGGTACGAGAATGAAAATTAAATACCTATAATACTTAAAATTTACAAAATAGAGGATTAAAAAAATATAAAAAACTAAAAATATAATAAAAAAACAATAGAAGAGAAGGGAAAATATAATGCTAAATCATATTAACTAGACTTAAACCTTGAACCTAATTAAGATAAGTGAGCTGATTTTTAACTATTTCACTTTGTTTGTAATTAAATAAAGTTGGTCTGGCTCTAGTTTTTTTTTTTATTGACCCATTGATATTTTATACACCATTTTGCATACATTTTTATTTTATAATCTCTTGATCCTTCTAACGTTTTTTTTTTTTCAAAAAATATTGATGTTATGTATATTAGTGAACACTTTTATTTTAGTTTATTCGATTTCATTTAAAATTGTGACAATATCATTTATAAAATTAAAAAAATTTCTAAGACGAGACTCAATTAAAAAACATTCGTTTATAAATATTTAACTCTTATTTTAGAAATGAATGAATTTCCTTTTTATATATATTTTGAAAAAATATAATATCGAAACTGGAAAGATGTTATTATTGTTTAAGTGAAGGGGTTTTATTGTTAGACCAATGTTAATAAGTGTTTTGGTTAAATATTAATGCTTTATTTCATAGAAATGAGTATAATAAGCTTATGAACTGATGATTAAATGTGTTTAGTTAAAAAAAAATAAATAATAATAAACGAATAAAATAGTACCATGATCTTATCATTTTTTAAATTATTTTACCCTCTTATATTTCCACCAAATATACTCAATCTTAGCTTCATATTTACTCATCGTCTAAACAAAACAAAAGCTAAAGAGGATTTTTATTTTTTTAATTTGTCATACATCAAAATATGTGTTTATGAAGAAGGTTGTGTCCATAAGAAAACTTTCTGGTGTTGAAGTGGCCGATAAGAAGTGGCACAATATTATGAGAATGATTGTGGGGAAGAATGTGATAATGGAATATTGTACGAGAAAGGGCACTGAAAATGTGTTGGCAGAGCAAAACTAGGCCACTTATTTTTGAAAGCCATCTTATCCATGAGTCTATCAAGAGTCGCATGTTACACATTTGTTGTTATTCCTTCAAAATCACTTTTTGCATCATTTGTTTCATGATTTTTTCTCCTTCAAAGACTTGTGCCAACATTTCCTCCCCTAATGCCTCCTCATACACGCACTCAACTCTTCTCTACCGTCCGCGTTTAACTAATAATCCCTCATATTTTTATTTTAAATTAATTAACATTACCTTCAAAAATAGGTGTTCAATTGTTTTTACTCTCTAGATATGTCCAAAAAAAAAATGAAACTCATCATCATCATCAATGTCATTGCTGTAGCTCTTTCACAAGGAAACAAGAGCAATGTTCCTTTCACCTTTCTTTTTTATATCTTTTTTCGAGTGTTCTCTCCCTTTTAGAAGTACAATTTTATGTTCAATTAAATTAAACAAACAATTATATTATATTAGTTTTTAAAAGAAATAAGACTTTATATAATCTACAAATTCTATGCATAGATATGAAAGGACATGGTGTTGCTGTTTTAAGTGCTCATTGTGTTTGATCTTTATTCAATAAGATATTGTTCCTATTTCGTAAAGTCAAATCAATGATTTTGTGAAGTACATATATATCATTTCTAATCATGATAACTTTATTTCTTAAAGAAATGTGACTACTGCACTGTTATCGATCACGATCCTCTACACCTGCAAAAAAAATACTTATAAACATAAATCTCAAATATATTTTTCTTTTTTCTTAAGAGTTTATTGGTTCGGGTGGATAATTGAATGAGTATAGTATTTATACACAACTAAAAATCACGTAAGATTAATCAAAATTCTTCTTAAAAACCATTAATTTAGTCAATTATTTAAACCAAGACGTTAATTGTAAAAATATGAATGATGAATTGCAAATGACATAGTCTAAGTAGCTTTTTTTCCAACATTTGATATCACAACAACGAAAGAAAAATTATATAATTGTAGGGAAATTAATAATAAAATAAACAACAAATTTAATACGATACCAGGTAGATGAGTCATGTTGATATTAATATTTTTAACAGTTAATATTGAGGATTTTAATTCATAATGGTAGATTAAAAGTTATAATTTTTAAAAAATAAAAGACCAAAAGTGTATATTAAAAAAAAAAAGATGAAATAAGTATGTACACGAAATTAAAGTCTTGAGATTCGAATTATATGGGTGCAGTTAAAAAAATGAAGTTTGAGTGTTTAGCTAGAATATTATAATTCAGCATGATCATCATCACTTCTCACTTTGGTCACTATCATTTTCCAGGTCAATTCCATTAATGTGCCCAATCATAACTTTCATAACAAACAATATACTATTAGCCTCCTACATCATTCCCATCACATCACCAATACTAACCCCATTTATTCCAATCAAATAGTAAGCAATATCAGTCCAAAACATCACCAAATAAAATAGTAAAATAGACAATCACTAACTTTTGGTTCTACAGGCACAATTTTTTTTTTTGAAAGCATATAAAAATAATAGAAAAAAAATAAAGATCTTTTAATTGAAAAAGTTTTTTTTACTGCAGTCTTTTTATTATTATTTATTTGTCATAGTAAATATTAGGTATTGTAACACTATTTTTTACAATTATTTAATAAAAAATTATTAAATAAAGTTTAATGACAACATAAATTATACTGTAAGGATATAAATTTATCAATTTTAAAACCTACATAAGTCAACGGTAAAACTAAATTTTGAATAAGAGTTAGTTTTGCCGTTAAAACGTTTTTCCCATGAGTATTTTTCGTAGGAAGCTATATATATATATATATATATATATATATATATATATATATATATATATATATATATATATATATATTTACGCACAATCTATATATTCAGAAAAATTTATAATATTTTTGGTCATTTATTTTTAAGAAGTTAACATATTTGAGCATTGATCATGTACAAAAATCATCAATTTCAATAATGCAATACTTTACTAATTATATAAAATGTTCTGAAAATAAAAATGTAATCTATTAACTAACAAAAATAATAATAAATACTTATATAAAAAAAAATATAGTGTGAAATATAAGTTCCGTGTTTTAATCAGAGTATTTTCTAGTATAAAAAAAAAGTTTCACTATATTGAAATATTAAGATAAACTTAAAATGTTAATAATTTTTATCAAATGTTTTTATATATAAAAAAAATCTTATAATTACTTTTCAAGAAGAAATAATTCAGTTGGGTGAAGAGAGTTAAATATTATAAAACTTATGACATATATTTAAAGTTTACGAATAACAAAATATTTAAATGTTATTTAATATTATTTCAAATATAAGATATCTTTACTCTTTTTCCCTCAGAATAATAAAAAATAATATAATATAATTGTGTTTAATTTTTTCGTCAATATGACATTACATATTGTGTACGCGGTTACTATTTTTAGGAAAATGGTAAAGGAAGTGTAATAAAAATAAAATAAAAGTGCGATAAAAGTATAAAAAAGGAAACAAGATAATTAAGCAATGGCTAAAAATGAGAATTGATCTTCAAAATATCTGTTCAACTTTTTTATTGGGAAATTGAGGACCAATGAAAGATACTGACATGAAATTGTACGTGCGTGAATAATACGAATCGTACAGTGACCGTGAAATGAATAGAAGAAGATTATTGGTACAAACTAGTTTGCATCAAATTTTATGTGCATCATATCATAGGGTGCTAGATATAGTGCAGTATACTGTACCATGTTTCTTTGTGGGAATCATTATTGAGTTTTCAAGACTTGAGAGTGACAAATGCAGCAAGAAGACGCATTATTGAACACGCATGCAGACTATTGCGAAGGTTTTTTTACTTAATAAAATTTCAATTTAATATTCAATAAAATATATTATCATTCCACTAAGTAGCCACAAATAAGTTGAGAAACAAAATTACACATTTTCAATGATATAGAATGGGTTTAAAAATTCTTTTATATTTTAATTTCTTAAATATAAAATATTTACATGTCAAATATTAGAGGGAGATATCTAAATTATGTGTATACTATCTTAATACATAAATTACTATCATAAGTATCTAAAGATAATCGTTATATTTTTATTTATAATTAATTTGAAGTTAATTCATTAAACAAGTTATATTTTTCAAAAAATATTATAATACACAATTGAGTTTATATTAATATAAATTTGGTTAAATAATTTTATAAGCATTAGTAGAATAATATTTTTTATGTATTTTATATTAATTTTATAATCAATATAGAGTAAAATGATATAGAAATTATTCATATACCATATTAGTTATAGTTTTATCGATATGGAAGACTTAAAAATAAAATCATAATAATTAACAAAGAAAATGTATTTATTTATAATTCTATCACTGTACCATATTTTATATTTCCCATAATTAATGTAACATATTGTTATTAAATGTTATTTCCTTACTAGTGAACTAGCATAATGGCACAATATGGTAAATGGTAAATAAGGAACGTTATTGTTGGAAAATATTGATACAATCTCATGAGTTTGGTTTTAAAGTGAAGTAAAATTGTATTGCAAATGATAGTTGAAGGAAATTAGTGAAAGTAACAAGGTGGAAATTATTGGATACATGAGTAAAGTGAAAACAGTATTTGAAAATGTGAATAGGAAAAAGTATAAAGTGGGTTGTCGCCAGATTTTTTTCTTACAAATCTCATGATTAGAAAAATATCAACCACTCTTGACATTTTTGATATATAAATTCACTTTATATAGAGTAAATGAGTTGATGAAGCAAAGAAAATCGAGTTTTATAAAACTTTTCATGCTCTTTGTGAGACAATAAATCTTAAATATAAACCGTTAACCTAGATTAATGTTGTGAGAATTATACACATTGTAATTTTAAAAAAATCATAGACAAGCTTCCGCTGTATACTGGGTCGTTTTGCTCATGTAGGGACAAGAGGAACTGACAAAACCATTGACCAAGTGAAGATATGTCTTGAGATCATGACATGTGGCTACATCTCCTTTCTTTAGATATGGTGATTCCCTGCTACTCAATCTCAACTCTTGTCCAACATCGGCATACACCAACTGCATGTCCTTGACGACCCTGCGGAACCAACTCTGCAACCGCGCCACCTGGACATGCCCATTGCAAGCCATGTCATCATCTTGGACCAATACCCCAGGAACTTTTGTGATTACATCATCGGAGTTTACAATTCTTAGTATGCGGGTCCCACTCTTCTCCAACTGAATCCTGAATTGATCATTACCAACGCGTGGCCCACCAAAGGAAAACACGGATACAATTGGCGAATTTTGGAACGTGATAGTTATGTCATACGCGCTGAGAATTGCGAGTGCGGCACCGAGGCTGTGGCCGGTTATACTTATGCTAAGTGGCTCGTGGCCGTACAACTGGATCACTCTAGCGACCTCTTCCCGAACCATGTCTTGCAAACTCGGACACGCACCCGTTTTGGAGACATAGAGACTCAAAAAACCGTTCTCCACCATGCAATCTTCGGTTCCACAGCCCATATGGTTAGGCAATTTTGTCAAGGTAACACGAAGATTTTCCAACCATTCCATACACGTGGCGGTTCCCCGCAGCGCAATCACCACGTCTCGTCTTCCCAAGCGCACAATTTCATCCTCGTCTTCACAAACGGCCACGTAACCAATCCAGCTTGACTGGACACGTGGCAGTTGTGATACTGAGGAAATCCAATTGGGTAATTGAACTCCGCACGTGGCGTGTAAGTTTTTTGTTATTCTGTAGCCGGATTTTGGCATGCCCGTTTGAGGCAAGAGCGATGTTTCAGGGAAACGACACGTGGCGTAGGTTGGGGAATTGGTGTCGAAATCGAAAGCGCGATAAGCGGATTCCACGAAGTGGCCGTATCTTAGGATTTCGGCGCGTAAGTTGTCGTCGAGAGGGTCTAACAAGCCTTCCCAGTAGTTGATTCCTTGGTATTGGGTCCACTTGTGACCGAGTCGGGGCGAGTTGCATTGCGCTGAGTCACTCCTGATGCGATCCCAAGCGAGTTGGGACTTATTGAAGGGTAAGGTTGGGGTTGTGGCATGTGAGAAAGTTGGGTTGAAGTTAGGTTTTGAGAAGGAAGTTGAAGTGTGTGGTTGGGTAGTTGGTGTTATAGAGAGTGTCATTGTTGTAGAGACACTTGTCTAGTTGTGTGTGTTTCTGACGAGTGATATGTTTGGGTTTATGCATGGCATTTATATTAGGAGAAAGTGAGGGAAAATGGGCGGTGGTGGAAGAGAGATTGAGAGAGAGAGAGAGAGAGGCTTGTGATTTGGGTAACTGAAAAATGGCTGCGCGAGTATGAGTCAGTGATGGAAATTATGGGAATAAAGAAATGATGGGGGGTTGAACATGAAAGCTCCGAAGATTTTGACGCAATAAGTGGGACCTAAACGATTAAAGTTAATTTCTTGTATAAAAAGAAAATTGTTTTAGTTTCTCCCCACGCCAAGGGAGGTTCGTACGTGTAGTATAGTGTCACTATTGCTACTGGTCATTAAAAAAAAAAAGGTTAATTTGAACTTTGTAAGTAATTATAATAAATGGGAATATTCCATTTTAAGGTGAGTTGGGATAGGATAAAAATTTTAGAGAGGGAAAGGTTAATAAAAACAGCAAATGACCTAATTAAAAAACAAAAAAGAAATGAAAAAAATGAGGCAGAAATAAGATAGAAAATAAATAGAGTGTATTTTAAGTATTTTCCATGATAGGAGAAATTGAAAGAAAAAGGATGGGGCTTTTTCCATAATTATAAAGAAGAATATAGTGATATATATAAGAGAAATTTGAAAAAGTAGAAGTAGTACTCTTTTGGCACAGGGGGAAGCCGCGTAAGGTTAATATCATGAGAGGAAGAGTAGTGGAGAGGTCAACATGCGTCAAAGTATAGACTCATGACCTATTCATATTTGAAAAGCAGAAATTTAAATAAATTCTTTATAAAGTTATATATTACTTCAAAATTAATAAAAATGGTGGAAATTAAATCGTAAATGTTGTTGTATGTCAGTTTTCACGAAGTCGAAATTAATTTCTCACATAAAAATTTTCATAATATATCTATCATATTATTATTTATTATATTTAATAACCTTCGCTAAAGTCTGACTTGATTTAATCATTTAGCAAAAGTTCAGACTTTTTAAAAAGTTTTTTTTTTTTACAGAACTGTGGGGTTTTAGAAAAGTTCATTATGCTTGACAGGTTGGCTTACTCAAAAAATATTTCTATTTTTCTTTTTAAAATGTGTAGTATATAAAATATAATTATTGAAAAATATAAACCAAATCACTATGTTTTTAATTGGAATATCCATTAAATTGTTTGAAGGTTTCCGGTAGGGATAAAAATTTAATCCGTATTTGTGAGATTAATTTGTCCCCACTTCAAGTTTGAAAAACAAAAATTGAGTTGATCAGGTTAGGTTTTGGTTTTTTCTGCTTAAAAAAAAAAAATCAGAGAGACGGAGATGGGTAATACAATCCCTACTTTAGTCCATCCTTGTCCCTGTCCCGATTTTATATTTAAATTTAAATTTTAAAATATTAATTTTTTAAAAGTATTTTCTTTTTTTTCTATTAAATATAAGGTAATAGTTTTAATATTTTATCATTATTATTTTTCTTTTACCTATTTTTTTATTTTTTTTATCTTTTTTAATTTTTTATATCAATTAGTTCATTGCATTATTTTTTTCCTCTTACCTTTCACTTTTCTATATTTTATTAATCTTTCGAATCAATTTTTTTTTCAATCTTTTCAACCATTTTAACGAATACAAAGTTATTTTTTCTTATTTTTTATCTTTTTTTTAATATTTTACATAAATAACTAATATTATTTTATTTATAATTTATTTTTGTTAGGTTTTATTATGTAATAATTTTGTGATCTTATTATTTTTATTTTTCATTTATCAAATTTTATCTTAATAAAATATTATATTTTAAAATATTTTAAAAAATTGATAATTTAAATTTTTATTACTTTGAATTAATTAAAAAAGAGCTAACTTATTAAATATTTTTTTATAAACTATATATTTCATATTTTTAAATAACAATTTAAAAATAATTAATATATATAAAATCAAATGTTTGAATAAAATATAATAATAATAATATTATAAGTATTATTTGAATAAATAATAATAATATAAGTATTTTATGTATAAAAAAATAATTAAATTTTTTTATATACATATTTTAATATAGATATTATAAATTAAAATATATGTAATTAATAATAATTATAAATTATAAATATTTATTTATATACAAAAATTACATAAAAATATTAAAACTAATTTATTATAAATATAATTATTTAAAAAAATAATATATATACCAAAATCTGTAATTGAGAACTTAATTTTTAATCCAGATAGAAATGATTAAAAAAATTGGAGGACTTAATTTTTAATTCCGATAAAAATTAAGGGTGAAATGATTAAGAAGGTTGAGGACAAAGGCAAAATACACCCTATCCGATCGATCCAGTTAACATGTCTAGTTTCTAATGTTATAAATATATTAGTTAATCACGTTCTAATGATATATTTATCTACTAATAAGTTAATCGGTTTATTTAAGAATTTGTTTAATGACATATTTATTACATAACAGAATTTTATATTTTAATAAACTTTTTTGTGTGTGGAGAAAAGTTCTTTAAATTGAACGTTTATTTATCCTTATTGTTTTCAACGCAGCCATTCATGGTTTTGTGAATTCATTTTGGTGGAAGTAAAGTAAATTGGTCGTATACATTTTATAAATAAAAGAATGTGTACAAAATAAAAAAGATTGGGAACAAGGAAGAAAGAGAAAGAAGAAAAAGAAGATATGAACAACACATGGAAGCAAATATGAAATATATTTGGAAAGGCATGTGTAAAAAAGAAAGCGAGAAATACACATTTTTGCAGTACCATAAAAAACCAAGAATATTCCTGCAGGTATTTCATTCTTTCTGTGTTTTCTTTTTTTGAGAAACAGCTACAATCATTCGTTCTTATCCCATAAAACCTACCTCGTCTTTATCACTAACTTTTTCTTATCACTATCTTGGAATAATATTAATCTTTCGGTACGTATATAGTCGAGGGTTGATCACTTGGAATATTCAATATCTGCTTTAAGTATTGGTGATTAACCTTAACAAACGATATACATGTGAATTGAAGGATTAAGAAGGTTGCTTTTGTTTTTCTTAATGGATAGCAAAGAATCGAATTAAATAATTTATGGTATTTGAAGAACTAGATTTCTTTCAATTCTATGTTTGCTTACGCATCTTCTCCTCCCTTATTGTCAATCTCTTAGGGTTCACATTATTATTATATTTTTATTATTTTCTTAAAGATGGGTGGCATGCTTACGTTCCTACTAATATATATATAAATAAGAAATTAAAGTGTTAAATCACTTATGGTAATCAATTTTGGTATTTTCTTTTACGTTAATCTAGATTCTTAACGATCTTATTGGGTGATTTGGGACCCACAAAATATTGAGAAAGGTAACTTTGAAGATAGTAAAGTTGGATATATGATTTTGATTTAGAATTTATAGCTAATGATGAAGTAAGCGAAAGATAATAGAAAATGAAAAAAAAAAAAAAAAACAGGGATTTAGATTTGCTTAGGTGGAAATGGAAAGCTCTAGTGAGGGTAGTATTAGGATAACATATATGTATTGTTGATAAAAAGGCAAATATGGAGAAGTTGGGGATTATGAAGCTAATATAGGAAGCAATTGGTGCTTATCCAGAGATGATGGGAGTGGTGGACCACATTAGTTAAAGCCATTTGGAAGCCTATTCACATGTTACCCAACAAAACTAAAGAAAAGAGTTCATACACAAATTTACACCACAATATGAAAGAGTTTTACACTACTTAATCTTCAACATGAGATTAAAATTACAGTTACGATATAATTCATTCAAAACCTGTTATCAAGGTTCAAACCATTCTAGCATTCATAGTTTTCCTAAAACAGATGGCTATTGAGAAACAATGTTTCTATTTCCTTTCATGTTCTTTAATATAGACTTAATTGTCTTTCACCAATTTATCAGTTTCATAACATAAAAATAGCCTTTTTATTTTTAATTTTTCTGGTACTAGAATTGTGCCGCAAAGGATGTGTCTACATTCCATTAGGGAAGTGCATTGTTGTATACTATTGTTGATTGTTTAGGCACGTCTTTTCACAAAATGTGTACACTTTACATAAAAGGAGATCCTAATTTGGGTGCCTAATTCATCCCACTTATCTATCGCCTTCACCTTTACTTTTTTTTTTTTTTCAAACATCTAAGATCTTATCTCCACATTAATGTAACATTTTTTTTATGTTCTTAAATAGGGTAAGACATCCTACTTTTTCTTCTGTCCTTACCAAAAACGTGTTTTGTCTTATATATACAGACACTTAATAATTTATTTTATTTAATCAAAATATGAATAAAATTATTTGATATTGGTTGACACACATTGTAGTTACTTATATTCCTTAATTTCCAATATTGATGATCTTTGAATATAAAATTTATAAGAAATATAGAATATATCCTAGAAAAACCATCATGTCGTTTAAACGGACAAAATATCTCATTATATGGGATGCTTTAGGTAAAGTTATATATATATATATATATATATATATATATATATATATATATATATATATATATATATATATATATATATATATAAACAAAAACTAAAATTATAAATGAAACATGTATACATAATCCCACTAAATTAAAAAAAAAACCATAGGCAGTTAAGATTCAAAGATAAAAAAAAAGGAAAATTTTGATTTTAAAATAAAAATGATCTCAACTTTAAAGTAATTGAAGTTAAAAGTTGAGGGAAGGAAAATAAATTCTACTGCAAAAGAATATTTTTTTTAAATAAAACAAAAAACTTCAAGCGTTTTAATATATATATATATATATATATATATATATATATATATATATATATATATATATATATATATATATAAGTGTGAAGGATAATACTAAAATATAAGAGTGCAATCGATATTATCCAATGCTTGAAGTTCATAAGCTCATCTGTTAGATACTATGGTAATTCATATGATATAAATAT